TGGATGAAACCATACTAATCTTTGTTCAAAGGGTTCAGAGGGATCTTTCCTTTCCTAGATGCTCATTAGTCATCTCTCTCTCTCTTTCTCTCTCTGTCTCTGTCTCTCTTTTTTGGTAACATTCATTTTCTTTGAGTTCCAAATCCTCTCTCTCCCTCCAGCCCTTCCCCCACACATTGAGAAGGCAAGCAATATGATACCCATTATACATGTGAAGTCATGCAAAACATATTTCCATATTAGCCATGTGGCAAAAAAAAAAGAAAATAAATTTTTCTCTCTGTTCTATTTTCTTCTGTTTACCCTTCTCTTTCTCTCTTTTTTTATACTGTCCTCCTCAAAAGTCTGTTTTGCTTTTGCCTGTTGCCTGATTTAATTAGGCCTTTCTCTTGTCATCATCCACTCTTTCTCTTAACCCCGTCCCCTCCTTTCCTGTTGGATGTGATAGATTTCTATACATAGCTGAGTGTGTGTGTATATGTATATGTATATGTATATGTATATGTATATGTATATGTATATGTGTATATATATATATATATATATATATATATATATATATATATATTTCCTGCTTTTTGAACCAATTCAGATGAGAATGAGGTTCAAGCATTGTCTGCTCCCTCCCATTTTCCCTGCAACTCTAAAAAACTCTTCTTTGTGTGCTTTTTTTATGCAAGATAATTTTCCTTGTTCTTCTTTTCTCTTCCCCCTTTCCCCAATGACTCCTTCTTTCTCACCCTTCCATTCTTTTTTTAATGTAGATTCCTTCTAACTGCCCTAAGAATAATTAAGATCTTAGGAATTGCACATATCTTCTCATATAGGAATATAAACAGTTTAACATTATTAAGTCCTTTATGTTTTCTTTTTCATGTTTACCTTTTTATGCTTATCTTGAGTCTTGTATTTGAAAGTCATTTTTTCTATTTAGCTCTGGTCTTTTCAATCAGGAATGCTTGAAAATCCTCTATTTCATTAAACATCCATTTTTCTACTGAAGGATCATGCTCTTTTTTGCTGGGTAGGTTATTTTTGGTTGTAATCCTAGTTCCTTTATCTTCTGGAATGTCCTAATGCAAGCCTTCTGGTCCTTTATGATGGTAGCTGCTAAATCTGTATGATAATGACTGTAGCTTCATGATATTTGAAGGGCTCTTTCTGACTACTCGAAGTATTTTCACTTTGACCTGGGAGCTCTGGAATTTGGCTATAGTTTTCCTGGAAGTTTTCATTTTAGGATTTCTTTAGGAGGTGATTGGTGGATCCTTTCAGTTTCTATTTAGCCTTCTGGTTTGAAGATATCTGGGTAGTTTTTCCATTATAATTTCTTGAAATCTGATGCCTTGGCTTTTTTTTTTATCATGGCTTTTGAGTAGTCCAAGAATTCTTAAATTATCTTTCCTTGATATATTTTTCAGGTCAGTTGTTTTTCTGATGGTATAGTTCATATTTTCTTCTAATTTTTTTTCATTCTTTTGACTTGTTTTACTGTTTCTTGATGTCTTGTAGAGTTTCATGAGCTTCCACTTGCCCAATTCTAATTTTTAAGGAATTATTTTCTTCAGTGTATCTCTTTTCCTATTTTGCCAATTCTTTTTAAGGAGTTATTTTCTTCAGTGAGGTTTTGTATATCTTTTACCATTTGACTAATCTTGTTTTTAATGGAATTATTTTCTTTTTTTATTTTTCCTCTTTCTTTTATTTATTTATTTTAAATTAATTAATTAATTTTTAGTTTTCAACATTCACTTCCACAGGATTTTGAGTTCCAAATTTTCTCCTCATCTTGTCCCTCCCCCCACTCCAAAATAGCATTCATTCTGAATACCCCTTCTCCTAATCTGCCTTCCCTTCTATCTCTCCCTCCCTTCTCTTATCCCCTTCCCCTTCAATTTTTCCTGTAGGGCAGGATAGATTTCTATACCCCATTTCCTGTATATCTTATTTCCCAGTTGCATGTGATAACAATATTTTTTTAACTTTTGTTTTTAAAACTTTGGGTTCCAGATTTTCTCCCTTCCTCCCTCCCCACCCACCCTCATTGAGAAGGCAAGCAACTTGTTAGGGGTTATACATGTGTAGTCATGCAAACGACTTCCATGGTAGTCATGTTATGAAAAACTAAGTATATTTCCTTTAATCCTATCCTGCCCCCCCATTTAATCTATTCTCTCTTTTGACCCTGTCCCTCTTCAGAAGTATTTGCTTCTGATTACACCCTCCCCCAATCTGCTCTCCACTCTATCATCCTCCTGTTCTCTTGTCCCCTTCCCCTCCCCCCATTTTCCTGTAGGGTAAGATAGATTTCTATACCCAATTGAGTGTGTATGCTATTCTCTCTTAAAGACAAATCAGATGAAAATAGGATTCACTCATTCCCTCTTACCTCCTGCTGTTTCCCCTTTTCTTGTCTGTTTTATGTGAGATAATTTACACCATTCTGCCTCTCCCTTTCTCCTTCTCTCTGTATAATTCTCTCATCTTTTAATTTTATTCTCCAGATATCACCCATTCATCTTCAACTCACCCTGTGCCCTCTATCTATCTATCTATCTATCTATCTATCTATCTATCTATCTATCTATCATTTTTTCCCTTCAACTACTCTAAAACTGACAAAGGACTCATGAGTTACAAATATCATCTTTCCATACAGAACATAAACAGTTCAACCTTAATAAGTCTCTTATGATTTCTTTTTCCTGTTCACCTCTTCTTTTACCATTTGACTAATCTTGTTTTTAATTGAATTATTTTCTTCAACAATTTTTTCTTGTAGCCCTTTAATTTCTTTTTCTAATTTTTCCTCTGCTGCTCTCATGATTTTTAACTTTTTTTCTTTTTTAAAAAAAATCTCCTTCTTTAGCTCTTTTGGGAAATCTTGTTGGGTTTGTGTCCAATCTGCATTTTATTTGATGCTTTTTGCTTGTAGAAGTTTTAATGTCATTTTTTTCCTTCTGAGTTTATGTCTTGGGCTTCCCTGTCATCATAGTAGCTTTTTATGTTTTTATGTTTATCTTTTTGTTGTTGTTGTTTGTTAACTTTCCCAGACTATTTCTTTACTTTGAATTTCATGTTACAGTTGGGCTCTGCTTCCCTGGGGGATGGGTGTGTGGTGAAGGGGAATCACTGTCCCAAACTTCAGGCTTTTTTTGCCCTGCTATTTTCACAGCTAGTTCTGGGGGTGTATAAATATTCACTGCTTCCAAGGTGGTGTGATCAGGGAAGAATGTGGTCACTGCTCTCCTGGTCTGTATTCTGGTCTGTATCCGTAAAGGATTGCCGCTGGCTTGCAACTACAAAGCTCTAGCATTGGTGTGTCTCTCTCCCCTGGAATTGCAACCTGAAACTGAGTAATGGGCAATGGAGCTGCCAAATGGCACTCAGTCTTGCACCCAGTGTCCACGTAGCGGTCCCCTGTAATCTCTTTCTGACCATTTGCCCAGTCCCTTTAGCATCTCTGATTGATGAGAGCTCCTGGAACTGCTGCTGCCATTGCCCCAGTAGCCTCCAAAGCCCAGCTGGTATTGCCACTATGCTGTTGTCTTGGGCTGGAAAACTAACCTTTGTTGGTTATGTTGCTCCAGAATTTGACTCTGTGCATTATTTTAAAGTTGTTTGAAGGGAAAGATTGGGAGGATTCAGCCAGAATGCTCCCTTTACTCCACGAACTTGGCTCCCCATTAACTATCTCTTTAATAATCCATTCTGTAATTTTGGCAGGAATTCAAATTAAGTTCACTGGACTGTGTATGGTTTGTAGATTCCAGTCTCTTACCTTCTTAGAAAATCAGGCTATTTGCCCTTCTCTTTGCATGGCACCTGGCCCACAATCTTTCATGTAGCTCTGACAGTGGTTTAGTCATCACAGTTGCTAATTCATTCAGTAACTGAAGATGTGATTGTCCGGGTCAGGTGAACTGAATTCATCAAGGGCAGCTAAGCTCCCTCACCATCTCCTTCCTTGTCTTGGGTATTAACTCCCTAATCCTTTTTGGTTCTGTCCTTTCCAGTCCAAAGATTATTCTCCTTGACAGAGAAGACTGATGCAAAATAAGAGTCAAGCAGCTCTGCCTTCTCTCTGTCATTCATCATTGTCCCATCCTCTCTGATCCATGGTCCCATCCCTGCTTTGACCTTCTTCTTTTCCCCAGGACAGCTTTAAAACCTCTTATTATTGTTCTTGGGGCAGCTAGGTGGCACAGTGGGAGTGCTGGACCTGGAGTTAGGAAGACCTGACACTAGCTGTGTGACCCTGGGCAAATCACTTAACTCTGCTGCAGTTTCCTCATCTGTAAAATGTGCTCGAGAAGGAAATGGCAAACCACTCCAATGTCTTTGCCAAGAAGACCCCAAATGGGGTCATGAAGAGTTGGGCAAGATTGAAATGACTAAATCTCATTGTCCTCACCTTTCCTTATCACCCTCAGCTCGTTCTGAGCTTTCAGACTCTTGTCATTATTCTTGTAGGATCGTGCCACGCTTTTGGATTAATCTTCTCTTACCTGCCCCTGCTTCCATCTATGTTGTTTAAAAAAAAAAGCAATAACAACAACAGCAACTAAATTGATACAAGGCCCCAAAGAGATCAAAGAAAGGGAAATGGAGCCATATGTACAAAAATTGTTATTGTGTGTGTCTGTGTGTGTGGTCGTAAGGAACTAGAAACTAAGAGAGTGTCTGTCAGTTGGGAAATGGCTGAACAAGTTATGGTGTATGAATGATATGAGATACTACTGTACTATAGGATATGATAAAAGGGTTTCAAGGGGCAGCTAGGTGGCGCAGTGAATAGAGCACCGGCCCTGGAGTCAGGAGGGCCTGAGTTCAAATCTGACTAGCTGTGTGGCCCTGGGCAAGTCACTTACCCCCAACTGCCTTGCAAAAAAAAAAAAAAACGTCCCAGAGAAACTTGGTAAGACTTGTGTAAACTTATATAGAGTAAAGTGAGTGGAACCAAGAGAATAATTTATACAAAGACAAATAAGTTTTGCAAGACTTGAGAATTCTGATCAAGGCAACAACTTATTCTTCATGATTTGAGAGGACTGATCATGAAACATGTTGCCTACCTCCTGACAGAGGAGTGATAGACTCAGGGTACAGAATAAGGCATGTATTTTGGGGGGCATGACCAATATGGGCATTTGTTTTGCTTGATCATGCACATTTATTACCACAGTTTTGTTTTTCTTTTCTTTTTTCCAGCGGGAGGGGAGAAAACGTAGGTCTTCTTGACTGCGGGTCTTGTAGTCTCTCCGCTGCTCCATCTGTGCCCATCACAGATACTGTAGAGAGCATTCCTGCACTGGAAGGAAAGTGGACCAAATGGCTTTTGATATTCTCTCTAGCTCTTCTACCTGTAATTCTACCTCCTCTTCCCTGTCCCCTAGGGCATGATGAAAATCATTTTCAACTCTCTAAGCTTTTATATTTTATTGTCTTGCAACTCTTTTGGTCAGATTTCTGATTAATACCACACTCCCCCTTCCCCTTTTTCATTTTTTTCAGAATCAGTGATGCTCGCTACCTGTGTGACTTCAGCAATCCACTTAACCTCAGTGGGCTTCATTTTTCCCATTGGTAACACGAAAAACTTGAACTAAATGTATTCTGAGGTCCCTTCCAGATCTAAATCTATGATCCTAAGCAGAGAAGTTATGGGATTTGAAGCCAACTTTGGGCAAGACTCATCACTGTGCTGAGCTAAGCCTCCATCTCCTCTTTGGTCAAGTGAGGGGCTGAACTAGTAGAACCTCTAAGGTTCCTTCCCAGCTCTAAACCCTGTGGCTCTGGGATTCCTGGGACCATGCCGTGATTAATCAGGGTTTATGGGCTCAGGAGGCGCTCTAAGGGTCTGTCTGACTATTTTGGTCTGGCCCTGCCTAACCACTCACTTGCAAAGGTTGAGTGTGCTCTTAAGTCACCCTGGCATGTTCTCTCAGTAATGGATCAATGAACAAATAATCACTGATGGGTGTTTTTTGTCCAGTCTTGACTCTCCGCCCCTCCTTAGGCCACAGGACATTTTATAGACGAGCTGCCAACTTCTCTGAACACTCGAGCAGTCTCTGCTGCAGACCCCTGCAGGACAATTTCAAACCTCTCAGCAACCCTAATTCCTCAGGAGCCACTAATGGATATGGGGAACAAGCAGATTGGATGCCATCCACTTAGGAGGCAGAAATAGAATGTTTGAAAGGCAAAAGGGAGCAATCGTTAACCTTGCAGATGACATTTGTCATTAGGGAGAAGGGAAAACAATGACTTTAAACACATCCTTGTCATCCCCTTGGCAGCAGACTTTGGCAAATGCCCGCTGCTGGTCAAAGCTATGGCTTCATGAATTATAGCTTAAAAGGCAACCATTTCTAAAGGGATGATTATTAAGTGGTAGGGCTGAAGCTAAGGATGGGGGCAAGGAGTTATTGGCAGTCCAGAAGAAAAAAAAATTCTCATTAGCTTTCTCCATGCACAAAAAATAGAGGAGGAGGTAGACAAGTTAGCATGCCTCCCTATCCAAGTAAGGCTGAGAGGACAATATAGGTAAGCCACATCACTGGAAAGAAAAGATGAATGTGGTTAGTGAGGCAGTTGACTCCTAGACTTAGAAAAGACTGTTTGGAAGAGAGAAGGATTTAAATTCGATCCAAAGTCTTTAACCTAAAATTCAAGGCCCTCCACAATCTGTTCCCCACCTACCCTTCCAAGCTTATCTCCCACAGATCCTTCACTCCAGACAGATGCATGTCCTCGTGTCCTTTAAAGACATGTTGGGATTTGCTGCCTCTGGAAATTTGCTTATGCCATTTCTTCTTGAATACTACTCCCCTCTCTGTCCCAATTTTTCTAAAATCTTTGAGGATCAGCTCAAGTATCTCTCCCTTAATGAAGCCTTCCCTGACCACTTAATTCAAGTCAGTTTCCCAATCTGCAAATGATAATCTTGCAGTTAACAGTTGAAATATAATTATTCCCATTTTATAGATGAGGAAACTATCTCAGGAAGAATAAATGGACTTACTTGTAGATAGTATTCTTCATCTGCAAAATGAGGAGTTGGAACCTGAAAATCTCTAACGTCTCTCTCAGCACGGAGACACTGAGATCACCTGTCTCAAAAGTACCAGGAATAGATGTGAAATTTGGACCCTGCATTTAGAAAAGAAAGGCTGGAAAAGAACTCGTTTATACAAGATCTCAGGTCTGGCATGAAGGAGGGTTTGGCTTCTCTAGTACACGGGAGCCAAGTCTATTAATGCTGGTAAAAAAAAAAACATTTGGGAAGAAATGCACTAACCCAAGACACCCAAGAGACCAGGAAAGTAGAAGGAAAGAAACACAGCAATGAGACTTATCTGAGACTGACCTGATTACTTTATTTCCTGAATGGAATCTGTTAAATGTTGCCCAGAAGATACATGAAGGATGGCTATGATGAGGTGCTCATAGCAAAGATGCAGAAATGGAAAAAGAGATAGCATTATTACTAATTGAATAATAGCAACTCCCATTTATGAAGCAGCATAAGGATGCAAAGCTCTTTACGGATATTATTTCATAGCCTCGTGACAGTACTATGAAGTAGGTGCCTTAAAATGTCCACATTTTATAAATGAGCAAACTGAGGGCTCAATGGGGGTGCTTAGAAAAGGTTTGAGAGTAGTTTGGGGATCCCCAAAAGAGAGAGATGATATTCTAGCTCTAACACATTCTAGCCATGGGACTAGAGAGAGTCACTTAGAGTCTCCCCATCCTCACTTTCCTAACCTATAAAATAAAAGTCATTATACTTGTAGGATTATTGGGAGAAAAGTTCTCTGTAAGTCTTTACATGCTCTAACGAGTTAATATTGTCCTTTGTGGTGTTCTGATAGGGATCACAGAATCCTAGCATGCAACTACAGTTGTAAAGGACCTTAACAGTCATTTGGTCCAAACTCTTTATTTTACAAGGAGGATTGTGAAATGGTTATTGTTTGGTGCCCAAAGGGATGAAATGATTCGCACAAAGTCACAGCAGCTATTTACTGGAAAAGCCGGGAGTATACTAGAAACTTATAAACGTGACCCTGACCTGGGAAGGCTTGCTTCATTTACTTAGCAAAGATATTCATGAAGACTCTGAACTATCACCAGGGCTATTTACTGTTATGGACCATTAGGCTTCAAATTGGTCTGAACTAGTTGACTTCAATACATAGGATTCAGGCCGGGTAGAGCCCTTAGAGATTGTATAGTCTATGGGGTTCTTAACCATTTTGTGGCATGGACTGACCCCTTGGGCAGGCTCATGAAGCCTGTGGACCCCTTCTCAGGATAATGATATTTTTAAATAATTGAAGGAAATGTGTAATTTTGGTTAGGCAATAGTAAAAATAAAGATGTAACTTTTTCCCATCCAAGTTCACAGACCCTCTTAAATTTATCCATGGACGAGCGCTCCATGGACCCCAGGTTAAGAACCCCTGACTTAATCCAGTACCTTTTTTTTTAATAGGAGCAGACTGAGGGCCCAAGAGGCCAACTTGCTCCAAACATAGCTAGTAGGTAAAATGGCAAACCATTCCAGTATCTTTGCCAAGAAAACCCCAGATGGGGCCATGAGGAGTTGTACCTGACTGAAAATGACTGAACAACCAGTAGAGTCAGAATCTGAACCCAGAATACCAAGTTCCAAATCTAGGGCTTTCTGTCACCAAGCTGAATTCAATTAAACACATACTTATTAAGTCTCCACTGTGTGCCTAGCCCTGTGCTGTGGGTGCCTTCCCTTTGAGTAGCTGGTATATGGTGAGCATTTTGGTGCCTGTATCATGGCATTACAAGATCATGAATTTAGAGTTGAAAGGGCCTTAGAAGCTATCAAGTGCCAGCCCTTTATTTTATAGTCGAGGAAACTGAGGCTGACAAAGGCAGGGTTTGAACCCAGGTTTCCTGTGCTCTTTCTACTGTCCTACCTTTCTGTCTCTTTCCTCATGTGGTTATAGAGTCCACACACACATAGTGCAGAGCCGTGTAGGGAGCACACGATGATCATGCCGCTAGGTGAGATGTAGTCTAGTCTATTCTGCTTCAATTGTGCCTGCTGAGCTTGCTCTCTATTCCCATTCCTGGTGCATGGAGGCCACTTTGCAGGAACAAAGTGCTTTGTGGGATCACAGGAACCAAAGACCATGGATGTTTCTTTAAAAAGTTAATTCCCTACACTCCTCACCTATAAGTGATATGAAGAGAAAAAGAGGGCCTCGGAGTCAAGAGGGCAGAGGCACAGAAACATTGGGACAGTAAAATATCAAGGTACCATTATAAATGAGAAAAAGCATTACCAATTACAAAGCCTAGTTTTGGTCACATTGGCAATTTTGATCTATTGTTCAGCGTCAGATATATGGTAGAAAAGAAGCCCTGGAAATTTTCTGAAGCTCTCTTTGCCCAAGCAGGTGTGCATCTCCACACAAAACCAAGTAGCTGCCCAGGGCATTCATCCGGCATCATTTGAAAAGCATTTCTCAAGTAGCTGCTACAAGCAATAAACTCTGCTGGGCACTGGGGTAGGGTGGAAAAAAATTAAAAAAAAAGAACTCTCTTCTTCCCAAAGTTCCTCCCTCAACCCAATTAATCGTCCAATCAGTGAATAGACTTGATAAAGTTTAAGATATGTAAACAAGATGGTCTACACCCTATGATCTCTTTATCAGAGTAGTTCTTAACCTTTGTGTCATGGACCCTTTTGGTAATCTAGTAAAACATATGGACTCCTTCTCAGAATAAGATTTTCAAATGCATAAGATAAAATATATAGGACTACAAAGGAAAGCAATTATATTGAAATATGATTATACACATATGAAACCTTATATATAGACATAAAACTTTATATATGTATATTTATACACACATACGAGTGGAGAGGAACAAAGGCATTGGACAGTGAAACATCCAGATAAAATTATAACTGAGAAAACTATATATAAATAGAGTTGTTTGATATATATAACAGATATATACATATATAACTATACCTATAACTATGTATATGTGTATATATCTATCTATCTATAGAGAGCATGTGTGTTCATGGACCCCAGTTTAAGAACCTCTGTCATAATGAATCTCTCGATATGAAGTGTCAGTCTCTTTGGTTCAAGAAAGAAAACAACGTTGATTGGCTGAGAACATCAGGCATACCCATTGGGCCAATGCAAAAAATAGTAGTTGTTCCATAAGCGAGCTGAGTTCAAACCAGTGGTGGAAGATTTCAATTCTGGAGTAGAGGATTAAGCTTGAGCAAAGCCCCAGAGATGGAATTACTTTGGGAAGAAGGGAAAGCTTCCTTCCTTGCTTCCTTGCTTCCTTCCTTCCTTCTTTCCTTCCTTCCTTCCTTCCTTGCATTCTTTTCCTCTCTCTCTTTCTTGCTTTCTTTTTCTTTCTCTTGCTCTGTTTCTCTCTCTCTCTCTCTCTCTCTCTCTCTCTCTCTCTCTCTCTCTCTCTCTCTCTCTCTCTCTTTCCTTTCTTTCTCTTCCTTCCTTCCCTCCTCAAAAGGTGAAAAAGGACTTCTAGTAACGAGGAGCTATCAATGCAAAAGGGAGTAGCACCAAATAGGGTGCGACACAAAGATGAATTATGACGGACCATGTAGTATTGTGGAAAGCATTCTGGATTTGAAGTCAGAGGTCATGAGTCTGAATTTTAGTTCTTCTTGCTCTGGTTTTGTCAGTCTGGCCACTTCCTAGACAAATTCTAGGGGATTGCTTGAGGCACAGAGAAATTAAGTGACTTGCCCAGGGTCACAGAGCCAGTGGCAGATTTGAACTTTACCTGAGTCTTTCTTCTTGACTCCATGCCCAGCATTGTGGCCATTATGTGAGGCTGCCTTTGTGTATCAAATGAAATGGAGGCACAAAATGTTTAGGGGATGGGTGGAAGGTTCAGTTTGGCAAGATCGCAGAAGGGCACAGTCAGAGGTGCCGGTGAAGCTGAGAAGGTAAAGCAGAATACTTTTGTCATTTGGATGCATGAATAAATGAATAAAAAGCACTGTGAAGACCTCTATGCAAGAGACTGGGAATACACATACAAAATTGACAGTTCCTGTCATCAAGGAACTTGCATTCTAGTAGGGGGAGATACCACCTGTAAGACAGTGGTAGTCAGGGAAGGGTGCTTTAGTTTGGGAGTAAATGGGGGAGTTGATTGAGTTACGCTTTCCAGAAGCAGTGGCAGCACTGATCTGATTACTATTCTCAGACCAGGAGGCCAAAATGAGGGTTATGTTCCTGGCAGCAGAATGGTTAGTACAGAGATGGCTAGGGTATGTGAAACATGGCCTGGAGCCAGCTAGGGGCCACATAGCAGGCCATATGTTTGCTCTGGCTAGAATAGCCCCAGGGCAATGGTTCCAAAGTTGAGACCTTTCCTTCATGAGTCACAGAATTAGCTGACTTTGGAGATCTCAAAATGATCTTAGGACACAGAGTGTCAGAGTCGGAGCAGACCTTAGAACACAGATTGTTGGAACTAGAAGGGACTTTATTACGTGAAAGGTCAGAGCCAGAAGGAACCTCAGTACATAGAAAGCCAGAGCTTGAGAAAACAACAATAACTTTTGAACCAGGAGACCTTAGAACCCAGAATATTAAAGCTGAAAGGGACCTTTACCAACAGAATGTACTGAAGAATTTGAATCCTAGAAAGGACCTTGTGTGAAGGCCAAATCTGCCCCACTTCCTGTTTTTGTATGTCCCTCTACTTAAGAATGGTTTTTTTTTACATTTTAAAATACAATAAAACTTGATTTAAAAATCTATAAACCATTCTTAGCTCCTGAGAGCATGGAAGCAGGTGGCTGCTGAGGACATAGTTTGCTGACCCCTGATCTAGTTCAACTCTTCTCCCGAATTTAACAGATGGGGAAACTGAGGCTCAGAGGCAGGAAGTGACTTGTCTGGGTTTAAACAGTATTAAGTGTCAGCAACAGAATCTGAACCCAAGTCCTCTGGCTCTGGGTCCAGCACCTTTTCTAATCTACCATACTGTGTCAACTGCCTGATGTCTCCTTAATGAAGCAATTCTATGAACCCTAGATGAAGTCGAAGGATTTTTTAATCACTTGGTTGCCACAAGAAGACAGCCAGCAGCAGTGGTCAGTCAGCTGGATCTCCTCTCTGCTGAGGAAATCTTCATTTAACCTTCAGGGCTGGAGAGGGAAAGGGTGCTAGAAAGGAAAAATGGGATTCTGTTTGCTTTTCATTCCCTGGCCCTAACCCCAGTATCTACTTTCCCCAGAACTAAATTCTTCCATTGTGCTCTGGTCCCTGTTAGAGCCCAGCACTGTGGTTACAAGGGCAAATGCACCAGGGAGCTAAGGCATCTGGCCTAAGATGCATTCCTACACTCCCCTTCCTTGCCTAGTTCTTTGTCTGTATGCTTATTTTTTTCTTTGAAAACAAATCCAATCAGGAAGAATTCTAGGAGACTCACACCTCCAATGGATAAGTTCCAGCCCTGCTGTTCTCATTTGGATTCATGACCACAGCTGACACCCCTGGGCTGTTAGGATCAGAGACATTCAGAATGATGGAAAGGTACAAAATCATGGCTATGTAGACTTTAGAACTGGATAAGACCTTCCACATAGAAGCAGAGTATCAGAGCAAGGAGGACCTTAGTGTTGTTGATTTGGTCAAAGCTCCTCAAGTCTACTATTACATCAGTGTGGGCACTCCCTCTAATGGCCCAGCAAGCAACTGACAAGTATTTATTAAGCACCTACTATGTACTAGGCACTGAGGACAAAAAGACAAAAGGTACAGTTCACGTCCTTCTGGAGTTTACATTCTAATAGAGGAGACATGCACATATGTAAATATGTCCACAGAAATACATTTGTGGTACCTCCTCTGGGCTACTTCCCCAAATTATGTTTGTTCTCACGAATTGGGTCCCCAAAAAGCAACTGTAGTCTCAGATTTTAAGGGAAACCTTATGGGCCTTACTACTAACATTACACATAGCTTATGAGCCCCCTACCAGTGTGCTTACCATTAACAATGAGCCAGTAGATACAATTAGCTCTTGGCAAAGGTATTTACTAAGATGATATAATAAAAACAGTATCTGCAAAGCAATCCCTGTCCTCCCCCTAGAATCCTAGGTCACACTCTCTCGGAGAAACATGCAGCATCTGTGGGAAGTGTGGACTCAAACTAGGAGAATAGTAATGAGACACACAAGAGAGGATACAAGTACGGCAGAGACAGCTCACGAGGGCCTGAAACGCTTTCTCTCTTTGCCAAGTCCTCATGTAGATTTCCTTATGTGCAGTGGTTTTTACTGGACAGGCTGCTTAGCTGAGTCCCCAGGTCTTTCTTCTCCAGTGACTCTTTTCTGTGCTTCAAGAGGTCTCACTTCTCTAAGTTGCTCCTCCCTTGAATTGGTGCTTTTCTGTCTTTCTGGGGCATGTCTTTACTCCATTCATTCCATTTCCATTGTACCTTGAACTCTTCTGAAGTGAAGAAGTCTTGCATTGCCTTGAAGGCCATCTTCCTCTAGGTAACTTGCTTCTAGATGCCATACCCCAAATTGGGGATGAGATAGAAATCCTGTTCTCTTTCTCCCTCTCCTCCCCAAAGGGCTCCCAAGCCTTCATTCTCTCATACCCTATAAAACTTAACTATTTCAGGTCCAAGAGCTGTGGCTAATTTGTTTCTTAGCCCATTATGGCATTCCCTTCTAATTCCCTCGAGATTTCTTTGTCTCTCGTAAAGACAAGGCTGTAATTTTACAGTTAGTTTAAGACCTTGTTATCATATTAAAACCTCATTATCTGTGACAAAATCTTCTGACTGCTTCAACTGACGTGGGGAAGGATAATTGCATTCCCCCCATTCCTTACACAGAAATACAAGATAGTTTTAAAGGGAAAAGAATTAGCAACTGGAGGGATCTAGAAAAGCCTCATGTAGGAGACACTCTGAACCAAGCTTTGAAGGAAATTCTAATTCAAAGGGTTACTAAGAAGTGGATCTGAGGAAGGACTCCATTTCATGTAAGAGGAACAGCCAGTAAAAGGCAGAATGGAAAGTGGAGTGGGTGAGGAAGAGCAAGAAGTACAGATAATCTAGATCATGGAGTATGTGAAGGGAAGTGATGGATAACAAAGCTGGAAAGGTAGGCTGGAGCCAGGTTGTGAAAGGTGAAAGAGCAGGATGTATTTGATCCTAGAGGGAATAATGAGTCATTGTAATTTATTGAGCAGAGGAGTGATATGAGCAGACCTGTACTTTAGGAAAATCACTTTGGCATCTATATGAAGGATGAATCCCAGTAGGGGTAAAACATGAGTTAGACAGACCAGTTAGGATGCTATTGTAATAATTTAGGTGATAAAATAAGACTGGAAAAGAACTTTCAGGCTAGTCCAAATACCATAGAGGCGTTGTGGTATAGGAGAAAAAAGTGCTGGGAGTAGAATCAGATGACCTGGGCTTGAATCCTGGTTTGTGCCCCTTACCTGTGTGATTTGGGCAAGTAACCTCACCTCAGTGGTCCTCAGTTTTCTCACCTGTAAAATCGGATGGTTGGACTAAATGACTTCTAAGATCCTTTCCAACTCTATATGAAACTATTAATCATTGTAAGAACAATAATAGTTGTTATACTTATAAATGGTCCTATAGATTTCTGTGAAGGTTTATGGGTAAATTTCCCTTTCCTATTACTTCTGGATTTAAGACAATGTCACAACAAAGTTCTTCTCTACCACTGCCCTTTAGGTATTTCAAAATAACTGTCAGGTCTCCAATAAGAATCCTCTCTCCTCCACACTAAATTTCCCTAGCTCCTTCAACCAGCAGTCTTTGTTTCTTCCACATCTCAATCATCACCCATCTTTACAAGCAAGACTAAGGGGCAGCTGGGTGGTGCAGCAGATAGAGCTTTAGCCTAGGAGTCAGGAGGACCTGAGTTCAAATCTGGCCTTTTGACACTTGATACTTACTAGCTGTGTGACCTTGGGCAGGTCATTTAACCCCGATTGCCTCTCCAAAAATAAATAAATAAATGAATGAATGAATGAATGAATGAATGAATGAATGAATGATTGAATAAATAAATAAATAAATAAATGGATAAAAAGAACCAAGGCTAAGTCCAACCTGTAAATCATTCCACATGTTATTTTTCTTTTCATTCTTGAGGCCTGTGGGCAGCCCAGATTGCTAGAGGTTCTGCCTGAGCTAATGTGTTCCAGGAATCCAGGCTTGGTCCCTGAGAAACCAGGGAATAATTTCTTTGGAAAGCAGCTGGGCAGAATCCCCTGGACTCTATAGATAATACACTAATTGTCATGTCTGCCACAGAATACTTTAGGAACTTCAGGGTCATTAGTACAGCTCCTTATGCTGTCACAGCAAGAGGAAAGGGACTTGCAGACATATCATCGCTCATCTAAATTTTTAATAATGTACCGATCTTCAGACCATTTTGGGTAATCAAAGCCAAATTAGCTTGATACTTGAAGCCACAGATTAATAAGAGGAGCACTAGCTGTAATATTTCTTTAATGAAAGTTTTATAGGTGATGAGTTTCTGGCTGAATGTTAAGGGCCCTGAGTTAGAAAGCTGGGGTTTTGGTAGAACACTTGGGACGTTGACCTCTTCTCTCTGGAGACCCGAATCTGCAAAATCTGGCCAATTAAGCCAGCACAGGACAGAAGTCCAAACCCCCTGTAGTTAAAATGAACAATGATTCCTGGGCTTGGAGGAGAAGCCTACATAGGCTCCAAGTCTCTTCTCTGAAGGATTCCCAGATTAATCCTCTCTTGTCTACACCCTTCCAAATCTTACCTCCCGACCCAACTTCTTGAAGTCTTCTCAGGTCACTCCATCCCATAGTGATCTCTCTACTCTGACCTCCTAAACAGTCAACTGCTTGTTGATACCATTCATTGGACAATTAATTAGCAATGCAGCACCTTTGGAATGTCTCATCTATGGCTGTTTCTTATTATTATTTAATTTTTTTAATGTATTCATGCCTTAGTTGCCCAACCAGATTGTAAAATCCTTGGGATCAGGAACTGGTCTGTGTGTCTCCCAGTAGTGCCCAATAGGTATCCAGTAAATATTTGTTGATTCGATTTGCTTAATAGGCAGTTGCTATTTTGCTACCCAGATTGAAAAGGTCCCCTCCTACAATAATTAGGGCAGCCTGCCCCTGAAAGGCAAGCTTATTACAGTTTTGCTTGAGGAACTTGTTGTAGTAGTTTCAGTCATGAATGACTCTTCATGACCTCCCATTTGGGGCTTTCTTAGCAAAGATGCTGGAGTGGTTTGCCATTTCGTTCTCCCACTCATGTTACAGATGAGGAAATTGAGACAAACAAGGTGAAGTGATCAGCCCAGGGTCACACAGTTAGGAAGTATCTGAGGTCAAATTTGAACTCAGGTCCTCCTGACTCTAGGCCTGGTGCTCTGTCCACTTTGCCACCTTGCTGCCCTTTTGAGGGACTTGGTATAGGATAATGGGGAGAGCCCTGAAACTGGAGTTAGACCACCTGACTTGGAGTCCCAAATTTGGTACTTACTGATCACAAGTCATAGAATAAGAGCATCTTGGAGGGGATCTCAGAGTTCATCACATCCAGCTTCCCAATAATCAAATAAAGAATCAAATAAACTAACATATGTGAAATGCTTTCAGTTCCAGGTATTCTTATCTCTCCTATAGTAGCTCATACAGGTGTTCAGGCTGTTACTGCTTTATCCTCTCCAGGGATACACAACTTGGTATCTTATAAGCCCATTTCATTTTTTTTTTTGTGAGGCAATTGGGGTTAAGTGACTTGCCCACAGTCACACAGCTAGGAAATATTAAGTGTCTGAGGCCGGATTTGAACTCAGGTCCTCTTGACTCCAGGGCCAGTGCTCTATATACTGTGCCACCTAGCTGTCCCCAGCCCATTTCATTTTTAAGCAGCACTCAATGTCACATTGAATTGAAGTCTACCTCTTGTGAATTCCATCCAGGGCTTCTGGTTTTGCCCTAAGGGGCCATCATCCTACTCTTCCTCCACCGAGTGTTAGCTCTCTCTGTTCTCTTTTATCTTTTCAACTAGTTCTCATAGAACGTGATCTGAAATCCAGTCATGTGTGTATGTGATTGTATTCCTCTGTATAAGTCACTTAACTCCCTTGAACCTCAGTTTCCTCCTTTGTAAAGTCTCTCCCTGTAAAAGGCGAGCTGTAGGTATACTTCCTTCTCAGTGTTGATATCATGTGATCCACGTCCATGGCTTCAATAGTCATCTTGATGAAGATCACTCCCAAATCTTTATCCCCATTCCAGATCTCTGCCAGGCCTCCACTCTCTTGCTAACTGGCTCTTGGATATCTTTACCTAGATGGCTCTCTAGAATTTCAATTTTATTGTCTAAAACTGAACTTATTGCCTCTCTGTCTGAATGTGTCCCTCAGATTATTATTATTGTTATTTTTTTGATGAGGCAATGGGGTTTAAGTGACTTGCCCAGAGTCACACAGCTAGTAAGTATCAATTATCTGAAGTCGGATTTGAACTCAGGTCCTCCTGACTCCAAGGCCAGAGCTCTATCTGCTGTGCCACCTAGCTGCCCCTTCAGCTTCTTAATCTCTGTTAGTGACACCACCATCTTCCTTGTCTCCCAAGCTCATAACCATGGTATCATCTCTGGTTTTCCTGCTCCTTTATCCTCTAATCAGGTTCTAAGACCTGTTGCTTCTACTGCTAAAATATTTCTGGTATCTAGCCCTTCATTTCTATTCCCACTCTAAATCATCCTGGTTTGGGGCTTCATCCCTTCTTAACAAAAACCCTTGCAATATTCCAACTCGTCTTCCTGCCCTGTCTGCTCCTGTTCCAATCCATCCTCTACACCACTGTGCAAATAATCTTCCTAATATTCTACCAGTTGTGCCATTTTTCTGTTCAAGAAATCTTCAGTGGCTTCCCATTACCCATTAACTCCCACATTCAAGGCCTTCTACAATCTAGCTCCAACCTACCTATCCAGTCTTATCTCCTACTATTCCCTTTCTTATACACTATATTCTAGCCCAACTGGAATATTCTCTATTCCCCTTTCTCATTTTGCCTTCTCCCACCTCCACTCTTTTGCTTTCACAGTTCTCCATGTTTGGAATAGAATTTCTTCCTTTTTGTTCTGTTGAAATGCTTCTCTCTAAGGCCTAACTCAGAAGTCACTTCCTTTATGAAGCCTTTCTTAATTTCATGCCAGTGAAAGTTCTCCTCCTCACCTCAAATTTCTTTTAGCACTTCACTCGATTCTCCTTTGCCTCCATTGTGGCCTACCATCTTGTATTAGACATTTGTGGTTCATGTCCTTTACTGAATCAAGACTCCTTCAGAGTATCAACTGTGCCATTTTGGTTCTTCCTGCCCTCGTGGTAATTTGCACATTGGTCCAGACATGTGAGCTTGTTAGCATGTGAGACCCCCATATGGTAACTCCCCACAGCCATAGATTGACAAGTCACTGTAACTCATAGCCTTGAAGAGCTGCCTGAGGGTGCTAAGAGGGTAAGTGACTTGCCTGTGGTCACACAGCTGGTATAGATCAAAGGCAGGTCTTGAAGCAAGGCCTTTCTGACTCTAAATCCAGCTTTCTATCCATTCTGCCATGAATATTGTTTGAATCTGTTGAGTGAATTATCAGATTGTATAAAAACCAAATCCCGTATTGTGCTTATAAGATGCCAATGTATCAAATCACTTCAATCACATTGATGATTGGATATCATATAAACTAAATACCCAGTTGGTGTAGAATATTTTTCTTATCCCTACCAAAAATGTACCCGAACTGAGACCCTAGAAGAATCATACCAATTGTCACAGTGGAAGGAGAAAGGTAACATGGTACCAGGGAGGCAGTAAGCTATAATGAAATGGGTTCTGCATTTAGAGACAGGAGACTTTGGTTCGAATCCATGCCCTTCTCTTTGCCTCCTGTGTGACCTTGGCTAAGTCACTTAGCCTTTTGGCTCTCCGTTTTCTCAATTGTGAAATGAGGGGGTTGGACTAGATGACCTTTTGGGTCCCTTCCGGCTTTCAGTTTTGAATCTGTGAGCCTATGAATAGTGTCATCTGCTTTTTTTTTTTTTCAGATGAGAAAGTGCTAATGAGAATAGACAGAAAGAATCAGCTGAACTCGGTCCACATGTAGAGCCAGTACTCTACCAATACGTGAGCAGCACAAGCACGGGGAACATAAATCTTGAAGGCGCCACATCTGGTGGCATGCTTTGAGAAAGGCCCTGCCTCAACATGCAGATGTAGCCACAGCCAATTGGAAAAAGAGATAGACTGATACCCAAAGCACGTAATGATGAATTGTGACCTACCAGAGAGAAGACATCGTGACTATAGAAGGCATTCTTATCTGGTTGTTGCCAAAATTTCATCAAAGTCTTAGAGTCACCACAGATCAGTCCTGGGAAAGGGAGATGAAACCAAGGAATTGATTCCAATAGTTGATTATAGGCACTGTTATATTCTGCCCGGTTTTTGAGTGGCTTAAAATTTTGGCTTACCCTCACAGTCCTGGGACCTAGGAGATATGGGCTTTAGTCCCAGTAACTCAAAGTGTGTCATTGGCCAAGTAACTCCTCTGTAGGCCTTGGTTTCCCCATCTGTATAAAGTGTGTGTATGGGGCAGGGGTAGGAGTGGAGAAGGGTAGTATAGATGAGGGTTTCTTAACCTTTTTGTGTGTCATGGACCCTCCTGGTAGTCTGGTGAAACCTATGGATGGATCGCTTCTCAGAATAGTGTTTGTTAACCCATGATCATAGTTGAAGGAAATTCAATTAAAAGTTAGTGAAACTAGGGGCAGCTAGGTGGTGCAGTAGATAGAGCACTGGCCCTGGAGTCAGGAGGACCTGAGTTCAAATCCAGCCTCAGACACATAACACTTACTAGCTGTGGGACCCCGGGCAAGTTACTTGTTAGTGAAAATAAAGATTATATATATATATATATATATATATATATATATATATATATATATATATATATATATATATATATATATATATATATATATATATATATATATATTTTTTTTTTTTTTTTCCCCCTCATTCTCATTCATGAATCCCTTGAAGTCTATCCACAGTCCTCAAAGGGACCATGGACTTCAGGTTAAGAATCTCTGGTTTAGATGGTTTCAAAGTTTCCTTCCAGGTTTGATGCTCTCCATTCTCAATAAATACAACAAAATTTTATTCTATATTCTAAGGTACCTTCCAAATCTAACACTTTAGAGTCAACATTCAAAGATTCCTTCTGCCTCTTAGATTCTAGGTCTTAAGGTCTCCCTAGGCCTCATATTCTATTTTGTCTAACACTGCTCCAAACCCCCACCAGGTCTAAGTTCCAACATTTCTGTGATCATATGTCAATTAGGGCTATATTTCACAGCAACTTTTCTTTGCCCTGATTGAAAAAGTTCAACAACTGAAGTCCTGGGTGGTTAGACTTGATTTGAGCAGCTGGAAAAGTGTTTCTGTCCACCTCATTCAAACAGCAAAGTGTTAATGAGAAAAGATGAGGAGAGGCGACTGGGCCTGGGCCGCCAGCTCACACGGCAGCCAACAATCCTCTTTGAGAAGCATCATGAATGTAAATTTTGAAGGAGACGCCAAGGTCCACATCTGGGGGCCTGCCTTGGGAAAGTCCACACTGAGATTTATGGTAGAAGGCTGTAACGGGTTATGCAATCTCTCAAAGATCATTTCACTCACCACAAACTTTCAGGACATATTCAGCCACAAGATGAAGTATCGTTTGATGATGGCGTTGAAACTGAATGTTTCAATACTGCCCATTTGGATTTGAACAGGGCTGCATTCTCAGCTCCAGTCTCCTCTATAGCCCAAGCTATAAACTGGGCCATTAATTTAACCACAGAAAAATGTCAAGATTTCAGACTCGGATAGATTAGGAACAAATTTTTCATCAGACAAGCTGTTCTCTTCTCAGAGGATCCCAGTGCCTCATTATGCACCAGGTGGTATGTATATATATAGGGTGGGGTTTTTTTAATTCAAAGGAGAAAAAAAAAAAAGCCTGGCTCTGTCAACCCCAAATCAAAATACAGGGAGAGAAATAAAAAATCAAATTATTTGTTCAGAATCTTTGGGGAGTCAGAATAAAATTTTGCCTGTTGTTTGAATTTTGGGGTGCTAGGTAGACTCAATTGATATTTGTCATTGGGTAGGAAAAAATGTCCTAATGATGGGCTGCACTTTTTTCTTGACATCCAGCTATTTGGGCTTTGATCATTGTTCATAGAATCAGTGCCAGATCCTCCCTCTTTGGCTGTGATACCTGGCAGAGGGAGACCACGTTCTCCCAATACAGTGCTTCTAAAGAACAAGCTTGCAAGAGGAGGTGGCTATTCCACATTCTTTCCAATCTGACCATTTGGTAAAAAGGAGTTGTCTGAGTGAAAGATCATCGATACAAGGGGTTTGCATGCAGAATATGAGCTTGGTGAGAGCAGCTGTCATGTTTTTGCCTTTCTTTGTATCCCCATTACTTAGCACCAGGTCTGGGGCCCAGAATAAGTACTTAATAAATTCTTATCGACTGACTAACCTAGCCTTCTACAAGCCAGTCTGTAAGAAGGACCCTGTCAGGTTTTCTTATCTACCTTCAAGAGCTGGTTTTAAAAACTACAAGTTCTTAGAATCTAGTTTCTTGGAATTAAAACCTGCTCCCCACTCCCCACCCCCCACCCCCAAACCTTCATTTCTGGAGGTAACTCTGTGAATCAATGGAGTGGTAAGAATATTGAATTCCAATCCTGACTCTGTTTCTCTCTGTCCAGTTATACAACTTTAAACATGTACCTTCTCCTCTCTGGACTTCTATTTCCAAATATATACAGTGAAGAAATTCTCCTAGATTAGGGGTTTCTAGTCTTTTCCAGTTCCTGAACGTCTTGTCCATCAGTAAAGCTTCTTATGTCTCTTATTCAGTATGGAAGGACATAAATGATAGAGCTTACCATGCATATGAAAAAAATAAATCAATTTTGACAGAATAAGAATTATTTACCAAGTATTCCCTGTGTCCCCTAGACAAGCTTTTTATATCTGTTGAGAGTATGCCTGCCTCAGACTGGTAACTATATGGTCTCAAAGGTTCCTTCTGACTCTAACTTTCTACATTTCAAGGTCTCTTCTAGCTCTGACGTTACATGTTCTAAGGCCTTTTCTTAGCTCTAAAATGTTATCACCCCCTGATTCCTTCCTGTGAGGCAGGCCTACATTGTCCCTAGATCAGAAACAATTAAAACTGATACAGAATGTCTCGACACTCTGTTCTTCCTTCTTCTTATTTCATTATGTTGTACAATTACACATAATAGTCCCTAGCATTAGAAGCTTTAAGCAGAATTCCAACTGTTTCAATTAAGTGTTCATTTTGATTTCTTTTGCCAAGACCCCATCTTATAATATCGTTTTCACACTGGAATGTTGCAATGCTGGTTTTCATAATCTTGGCCCAGGAAAACCCCTGGACAGGAGGATATTAATGTCTGAAGGCTTTTTGCTAAGAATTACAAATGGGAATATCGGTTCCCAAGATTCATCTTCATGGCTTTAGAGAAAATTCATTCTTTAAAAAAAAAAAAGGATAGATTCTGCCAGAGATAAAATTGACTTACTCTGGTGGCAGAGAAAGGGCACTGAAATCACAATTAAGATTCCTAGATTCTAGGCCTAACTCTACCACTAGCTAAATAAGACCTTGGACAGGTAATTCTCCCTCTTTGGGCTTCAGTTTCCTTCTCTGTAATAGGACTAGTGTGGACCAGATATTTCTGATATTCTGTGTTAAGGCTCGTCCCAGGTTTGACATTCTATGTTCTAAGGCTCCTCCCAGCTCTGACATTCTATTTATCAGAAATACAAACTCCAGGTTTGTACAGGCAAGATCAGTCTTGGGAGGCTATCCTACCAATCATACTTCTTTGGGTTCTTTTGTCACCCCTACCCTTAACCCCAGATTTCCCTAGAAACTTCAAAATTTTGTGCTTGTCCAGGTCTCTGCAAATGTGGGGGAAAGGTCCCAGGTACTGTGTAATGACTCACTTAAGCTAACACTAACAGGCACAGAACAGCTTTCTCTAGTTTATTTTAAATCTGTAAGAATGTAGAAAAATAAAAAAGGATTCCCAGGAGTCTGTTTCAATCAAGATACTCTCTTTTTCTGAAGCCAGTCTCACTTTCTACCCCAGGGACACATATAAGCCTCCAGCCCTCTTCTCCTACCCTAAGGGTTGGGACTTTTTGGGAAAGGGAAACAGACTTACCAAGGTGATAGTCAACCCCTCACATTCAGATGAGTCCTCTTTAAAAAAACAAAAACTTTTATGTATTATGAACCTAACAAACATGAGTTTTTTGATATACAAAGAACAGAAAAAGAAGATTATATGACACTGTAAATTTCTGTTACCTGTAGCTTTTAAAAGTGTACATTAAAAATAATTGTATCAAAGTATATTATAGCAATTTGTGACAAAGTATAACAAAAAATTGTAACAAATTATAACAAAATTCCTCTTTCTGAACTTTCTTCTAATCTCTGCTGCATATTTTACAAATGTTTCAGTGATTGTCTTTTCCGTCTTTTCTTATTATTACTAATACTGTAATAACAACCAATGTTTATATAATGTACACTACGTGCCAAGCATTGTGTTAAGTACTTTACAATTACTATCTTATTTGGTTCTTTTAATAACCTCAGAGGTAGGTATTATTATTACCCTCATTTTGCAGATGAGGAAACTGAGGCAAACAGAGTTTAAGTGACTTACCCAGGATAACACAACAAGTAAGTGATGGAGACTAGATTTGAACTTAGTTCTTCCTGACTCCAGACTAGGCACTCTATCCTCTACTCTACTTATCTACCTACTACTTCTTCCCACCCAACTCCCCACTCCCCCAAAATAAAAGCTTTCCCATAAAAGAAGTATGTATAATCAAGCAAAACAAAGTCATTCATTGGCCATGTCTGGAAATGAATGTCTCTGTCTGTTTCTACAGCCTATCACTCAAATCCCAAGAGGTGAGAAGCATCCTTTATCACCAGTCTTCTGGGGTCCTGGTTGATCATTGCAATGATCAGACCTCTTAATTCATTTGAAGGCACCCACCCCATTCCTTTTTGTCCTTGCATAAAAAGTTCTGGTGCTGCTCACTTCAGTCTGTTCATGTACACCTTCCCAAATTTCTATGAATCCATCCCTTTTATAATTTCTCATGGCATAATAATTATGTTCAAATGCCATAATTTGTTCATCTGATCTCCAATTGAGGCACCCTGAGATCTACTTTCTGATGCACCTGTGGGGACCTACAGTCATATAGTCCTAACCTAAGGGTTAGTTAAGGACTTCCCTCCTGGAAGGGAAATAAACTGAAGGTTGTTAAAAGAAAAAGTGCCCCTCTTCCATTCCATCTAAATGATTCGTCCTAGTAGCTGACTGCCAAGTCCAGTGTTTGCTCCTCAGCATGATGGCTCTGTCCTTTGCTGCTCCTCCAGCTTGTATGCTTAAATTCTCAGGGTGGAACTCTTGCCCATTCTCTGCAGTTCAGGAATGCCACTGACATGGTCACATGGTTCCCCTCTCCATGTCTGTTATCTCTAGGGATGGACTAGGATGGTTTGTTGGAGGGGAGCTTTGCAAGAGGGCAGACTATACCTACTCCCCCCACCCCCAACCTAAGACTGATCTCCAAGCTTTGATCTGTGTTCTACTTTCTCCATATCTTCCTCCAACTGACCCTGGCAGGTCTGTCTCATCTCTTTTTTTTCACCTAGGTATAAAGAGCTAGGTCTAATCCATCATTAAGTATTTATTACTTGTTTACTATGTATCAGGCACTGGGCAGAAAAAAAATAAACAAAAATAGTCTCTGACCTCAAGGAGCTTATATTCTGATGGAGGAAATAACATATAAATAGTTACTGCTAAGCACTGCCAATATAAAAAAAGAAAAGAAAAAACCCGCCGTTTCCAAGAAACTTATATAACATATACAACATATAAATGAATTATATTTGTATAGCATGTACATAATATACCCAGAGTAAATGGAAGGGTACCTTAGGGAAGAAGTCTCAAGTGGGTGGAGAGACTGGGAAAGGCCCCCTGCACAAGATACAAGTGTTTGAGCTGAGACTTGAAATCAGGAAGGCTGGAAGATAGTGAGGAGAGCATTCCTGACACGGGGGACAGGCAGTGTTATGTATCTGAGGAACAGCAAGCAGACTAGCATGAATGAATCATAGAATGCATGGAGTGGAATAGAATAAAAGAAGACTGGAAAGGAAGGAAGGAGCCAGGCTGTAAAGAGACTTGAATTCCAAAAGATTGTCTATTTCTTCTTGGAAACAATAGGGAGACATTTGAGTTCACTGAGCTATCATAGGGTCATGTGATTGGTCTATGCTTTAGGAAAATCACTTTGGCAGCAGTTTGAAGACAGACTAGAGAGGAGAGTGGCTTGAGGCAGGAAGACCAATTAGAAGTCTGTTGGAATAGTCCAGGAGAGGTATGATGATGGCTTGTGTGGAGAAAATCAGATCTATATGAGGGATGCTGTGAAGGCAAAAATGACAGGATCTGGCAACTGACTGTTTATGTGGGATGAGTGAATAATAAGAGTCATGAGTGATGCAGAGATTGTGAATGTAGGTGACTAGAAGGATGGGGTTGCCCTTAATAATAATAGAGAAGTTCAGGAGAGGGGTGGGTTTGTGGAGAAAGATAATCCACCATAGACTGAATCAATGAAATCATCTCCAAAGCTGAGGCTTGATCACTCCATGGTGATGTTGGACCACCAAGGAGGTGCAGCCAGATTTTTTTGCACAAAATCCAAGTTCCAAACAACGATCATCTTGATGAAAGTGATGGGAAAGATACAGTGTGGTTTTGTGGGTAGAGTGCAGAATTTGGAGTCAGGAAGGCATGGACTTGAATCTCAC